CTCTTCATCGTGCTTTTTGAGGCTTTGGTATTTCTCTTCCTTGTGTATGCGAGCAGATCCAAACGAGTTCTGCTCATAGCCTTCAAAAACAATAGCTACATAAGCTATTACCATCTGCTTGTACTGGCCGTCCCTCAGAATGATCTCTGGCCTCAATAAGGTCTCCACGTCTGTTGGACAGCTGTCGACCTGTAGAGTCTTCCCCCGATTCACCCCGCTGCGTTTGATGGCTGTTGTGATCGTCTCCAAAGCCTTGTTATGTCTTTCTTTGACTTTGCTGTCAAGGCTGTGAGGACAGTGATTAAGGACGTGCGCAAGTGTTTCAGGGTCGGCTGTGCAGTGGCGACAGCAAGATACCTTTGAAGCTTTGATCTTCTTCAGGTGTGCTCGTGCAGGAAGTTGCGCAGAGCGTGCTCTCAAGGCGAAGACGACCTCTTCTGGCTTCAGACGAGTCGGTCCCCGTAGGCAAGCATTGCTAGTCGCTGTCTGGTAGGCCACGGATTTCCCTTGGTCTACCTTCTCCTTCTACACATCACGTTGCCACCCTGCCATATGCTTCTTGATACTTCTAATAATATGCTCTTGGTCGAGGGAGGAGCCATCTGCCGTCTTCACCAGATAGCTGCCATCACTCCCAGCCTCGATCCGCTTTTTGCTCGCCGAAATGCTTCCTGGGAGTTCCGACCATAAGCTTCTAATATCCACATTCTTGCTCCTCTTCTTGAGACATCCAATGTCTCGCCCGTTGAGGTATGTAAGTATTGCTACTCGGTCACTCTCATCACTAGCGGTTGTGTATACATACGCCCTCTTGATGATCTCCAGCACCTGGCCTTCTGCAACGGCTTCGATCATACTGTCCTTGCTGTTGAGCATCTGGACGGCGTGTCCTATTTGCGTTGCTGTTGCGATCGTCTGCAGAGAGGTACATCCCGATCCGCCCTGAGAGGAGGGCTGATGAAACACCTCTGTAGCCGTGCTTTTCGAGAGCTTGAATCTCGCTTGTAGAATGGCACGGATGTGACGATCAAACAAGAGCATATGTTGTTTATAGGGGTAGCAGTGCCTGAGATGATAATCAAGCTGAGACATCACAAAGGTATGCACAGCATCCAACTTCTACCAGGGGATCAATGCCGAGCTGAGGATCTTAGTAAAGCCCTTTTTGACTTTGCTCATGACTCGAAGGATTTGGCCTTGGTGTACGGTAGTTTCTAGGGCATCATTGAGTCCAATGTACTTGTATGCCTCCCCGCGCTTCACCACCGGCAAGACCTCCTTGTGCAGCCGGAGTTGTGCTGGATCTGGTTGCTGCCTGGTCTTGCCTATCTTCCTTCGCATGGTACCGCATTTGGGCGGGTTGTCCTCTAAACCTGTCCACTGAAAGAATGCCGTCACCACCTGATGAAGGCTGCTGATCCCCTCACAGCAGTTGGCAACGGTCTTCAACTCGCCTGCGTACGCCATATGAGAAACCCTGACTGCTAGCTTCCCATCTGTCGTACGTAGTTCTGGGCCTGCATTACATGCTGCCAGCCGCTGCAACAGCGGATCAATGGCAAGGTTGAAAAGGATAGGGCTAAGGGGGCAGTCTTGCTTGACTCCCCTCCTATTCTCGATGATTCCTGAGGAGCCCTCCTTCGTCAAAATGCTGAAGCTTGCTCCTTCATAGAGATCGTTGACGATCTCCTGAAGATGCTTCGGAAGCCGCTGAGCCTGCAAGACAGTGTGTATGAGCTTGTTAGGTATGGACGCAAACGCATTTTTCAGGTCGTAGTAGGTCATGTACAGTGATGTCTTGCACCTGCGCGTGGAGTTGAGGATGCTTTGTGCAAGAAACAGGTGCTCATGGCAGCCATTCACTGGCATGAAACCCTTCTGCGAATTTGAGGCTACTCCCGACTGGATTGCCCAGTCGGTGACCCTGCTGGCCCACATGGCTGCATAGAGTTTGTAGGTGCAGTCCTGCAGATTGATCGGTCGCCAGTTCTTGACCCTCGTTCGGTCTCCGCCTTTCGGGATCAATACCGTCACGCCCTGCTTCCACTTCACTGGCACTTTTCGATGCTGGGAACAAGCGTTATATATCGCAGTCATCGCTGGAACAAGCACACCTTCAAACCGCTTATACACAGAGAACCCTATCCCATCCGGCCCTGCTGCAGACATAAGGTTGCCTTTTCGCAGCTGAGCACGCGCACCCTCTTCTGTGAAGTAAAGATCAATCCGCTTAGCCCCTTCAGGAGCTGCAGCCAAAGGATCTAGGAGCTCATTAGCAACTTGGCACTGGGTGTCAATAGATTGCTCAGAGTGTTGATGCATAAAGTATGTTTCCAGCCCAGTGAGTGGAATAGGACAGTCTTGGCTTCTCGGGTGATATTTGTCGGCTAGGATTTGCTCCACACACTTCCTTCGGTCTGTTTGATACAGTGTTTGAAGCTGTTGAGCCAACTCCCCCTGTAGGACGCTGATGAGGCGGCGACGCGCTGTACGGAGGTTTCTTTCCAGAGCCCGCTTCTTCAGTTTGTCATAAAGCGACTCTGGAGCTGTGTTGCGCCCCTGCTGTGCCTTCTCTTCCTCGCGAAGAGCAAGCAACGCCTTCTTGACGTTGCTTGTAGTGTGCCCTACACTCCCGGCTAAATTAGTCTCGGGTTGGTAGGGGGCTGTAGGACCCTGTTCTGCTGTCTCTTGATTTGCGGGTAGTGCACTGCTGCCAAAAAGCGGTTCTTGTTGGTTGTGCTCTACCTCTATGTATCCCTTGTCAGTGGTAATCGAAGTCGGGTCCTGCAGCCTAACATCTGCCACCTCTAACCTCTCCAACACAGCTGTCTGTAACTCTGAGTGCAGACTGCTGTGCTGTGGGACCCCCAGTGTGGGGGTCGGTAATCCTGTTGATTTCGTTATCCCGCGCTTCCTGGCCTTCTCTATTTTCCGTTTGGGAGCTACTGAGGGCCTGAGATTGCTGAGAAACCTCCTCAGTGTCGCTCCTCAGCCAACGACTCCTCGTCACTGGGCTGCTGCTGCGCTGCTGCAGCGAATAGGTGCAGACACGAATCTGCATCCTTTTTGCCCTCTGTATCTCCCATTGTGTTCAATTTGATGTTTTATGAACTAATGAAACAGGAAAAACAGAAAAGGAAGGGGTTTCAATGCTGCACTGGCGCATGGGTCTGGGCGTGACTGACGCGTGAGCTCAGTCGGCAATTTTGACCATTGGAAAACAATGCTAAAATTGCCTCCTGAGGGTCTGAGCTCTTCTCCTCCCTTTACACTCCTGCTGCTGCCATTTCGGGGTTGTCAAGTTACATTGATGACCGCAAAATTGGCCCCTGCCTCCGCCAAACCATATACGGTCTCATCGAACATCAGCTGCTGCTCGTGCCGCCGCTGTGCCTGCTCGGCCGATCGATTCCAAGCTGCAACTGCATCATTC